TTTTTTTTTTTTTTTTGCTAAGTAGAAACAAAAAAAATTAAAATTTAAAATTAAAAATAACCAAATAATGCAACTTTTTCCGTTTTAAATTGTTAATGATTTGCGCGTGCTAATAAGAAAAACGCGTGGTACCTGTGGTACTACATGTTTTTTCGTATTGTGATACATGGCATTATAATTATTTTTAATAAATATATAATATGAAATATCCAATCAGTCGAACTAGTTCATCGGATTTGGGTGTTCAAACAATTTCCAAATAAAGGATGAAATTTATCAATTTACGGTAATGACCGACAATTATCAAAATTCCGGCCAAAAATGTTATATAGTGCATTATCTGAACGCCATTTACTTATTTTGTTTAATCGTCCCGCTATACTTAGTTAATATTTTATTAGAAATCATTTTTTATAAAAACATAATCATAATCTTCTACTACGATTAGGTATGATATTTTCTATTTATATATTCGTTAAAAATTTCATTATCCGATCACTATTTAAATTCTGTACTAAAAATGAATTTTTTATTATTTGTCCTTCCATAGGGTGATCGATTATAATAGTCTGGTCACTTCTTTGAGATTACCATGTTTGAGACTTTTGAGCTCCATATTGTCGATCAAAATAATCGGACAGAAATGATTGATCCTCTGATCCATTTAACTCGTTTCCTCTTTTAAAAAATTTTAGAAATTAATTACCGACTATAAAAGAATGTATATAAAACAATTGATTATCACACAAAGTATTAGATAATTAATTTTAACCAAATTTTTTTCTTTTAAAAAATACTAAAATTAATGACCTCATAAAAGCAATAATTAAAAAATATCATATATTGAAAATATTACCGTATATCATACCCCCGAGTATTTTGGGGTCGATTGTCACTGTACCCAGGGGTTTACGAAATTTTTTATTATAAATGAAGGGTTTTAAAAACTTGTAGTATGTTCAAAAAAATATTTAAATGTGTCGCCTGTGTAAATTAGATTGTTTATAAAAAAAGAGGGGGTACTATGGCCCGTGATATACGGTATATTATTACTACTGATTTACCACTAGGATTTCTATGTATATCATGTGGCCTTCGGCCACATGATAGAGTAGTAGGCATAACAGATAATTGATTGAACGGGATATTTGGTCGGTTACACTAAAATTTGTGGCCAATAAATTTGTTTGTAAATATGTAGACAAAAATACTGACAAAAATAAACAAAACCATAACTATTGGTTGCTTAATCAATCAACGCAAAATTGAAGATTAATGTAACCCGACCAAAAAAGCCGATCGAACAATTATGAACTGGCCTAGTGTAAATCAGTTATGACTGATAATAAAGTTATTGGATATGTATGACGTAATCAACTGAGACCTTTTTTGTGTATCTTATTTATTATTTTATAATAAAGTGATCAAAAAATTTGTATATCACCAATTATAAAGTGACCAAAATTTGTGTATCACTATTATAAAGTGATCAATAACATACGTGAAAATGTCCAGTGCTTACATAGAACATATACAATAACTAATAGTAAATGGTAAAATGGTAATAGCTGGTAATTCTTTACTTTTTTCAGATTCTAAGATTTCACGTTTTAGTTTTATCTTTCATGATCAAGTTTTCCCTTAATCAATATATCTTATCGTCAAGTTATCATCAAATTTTGGGATTTAAGTTGTTTGACGTTTAATAAATCGTATTTTTAGAGAGTTGGCAAAATGCAAATGAATCCAGAAAAAAAGGAAAATTTCCGGACTTGTTTCTGATTTATTAATTTTTTTTTACCGGAACTGCGAAATATATATCTATTACCTCGCCAGATCGTATTTTATTACATAAAGCGCTACCGCTTGAAAGAATAAAGAAAGCAGGTGTAACGCAAATGTCCGCGATAAGCATGCACGTGACCATTACGTTTTCGTTTCTTTTGACCAGACCCCGTTTTTTGATCTACCCTATGATTGTCTATATTTTTAAAATAAAAAAAATAAAAAGATCTACCCTATGAACTTAATATGAATAGACCATTAGTTGTATATATATATAATTTTTTATTATGATCCTTTTGTTCTTTTCTTTTTGTTTTACAACAACATACAATCACAGGTTCACGAGCTGAGTCGATCACAATGCAGAGAACTCTTAACGTTTGATCATGAATTGTGACTTATATAGGACCCAGAAATATATATATGGGGGTCAGGTGGCGAAAAATTTTTTTACTATGAGCTGTACGCAGAGACTTTTTATATGAGTAGTACGCATAATTGACACCTGATATTGAAAATCCTGCAAAAATACGCAAATAAAATTTCAGACATTAAGTTATTAATTATTTTATCATGGCTTCTATATTATTTATAAAACAAATTACTAATGTGAAAAAATAGAATTTACCATTTTTTTAATAATTTTTTTCTAAAATTTCACTTTTTAACCCTTAGAAATTTCTTACAATTCGGTTAATTAAATAAGTACGTANTATTATATATATAAGATTAGCCAAATTTAGGTCAAAAATACGCAAACTAATTTTTTACATATAAAAATTTTGATAAAAAATACGCAATCTTGATGACCTAACTATAGATGAAAAATTCTAAAATTGTACGCAAATCAAAACTTTACTCCGTCTAATTCCACTATGATGGCGACGCATCTGTGTACCCTACCCTGTATATATATTTCTGGGTCCTACTTATATACGGGTGCAAGTCCAATTCGAAATATGATCATATAACCAAAACAACATTTGTAAAGCAGAATCCAAAACATATTTACTAGGAAAAAAGGTTAAGCTTTGTTTACATTTACAATCAGAGTTTGGGCATAAATATGATCAGCATAAAATAGAACATTGAAACATTCATTAATGCAAGGTTATTATACGTACATTATCTAGTATAATCGGTATTCTCGACGCTATGGTCCACATTCAGACTTTTCAATTATGATACCCGTATATTTTTGACAATTGAAGATACTGTATTCTCAATCGTGGATAAGATAACCTGACTATTATAATTTAACCATGACTATTCTCTTTTAGATTATGTGCCTAGATGAGATGAGAAGAATAATTAGAAAGAGAATTAATTTATACTGTATATCACTTCTGAGATCAAAAGTCTGTTTGGTAATTTGCAAGAATTTTTTTGTGACAGTAATAGACTCACTAGAGTATGCCTAGTTTGACTTAATTACATTTGATTAGTAAAAAAGGTTCACAGAAAATTATATACTTCTAATACTCAAATTTTGTGGAAGTTTCTTAGAAGGCTTAATAACCATGTTAAATTTACTGTATCATTATAGCTGATACCCGAATATATGAATATTATTATTTTATTTTAGTTAACCTTATCACTTTGCGACTTAATAACTTATCAATTATAGGAATTTACCGGTACCATTTGGTATGAAATTTATGAATTAACAAATTTTCACGTGGTTCAAGAAATTTGCAACCAAAAAAGGAAACCTTTAGTCATGAGGTCATAACATAGCACAAAAAGATTCATTCGACGGGAATTTAAATGAATATTTTCGTAACACGCACCTTTTCTTTGCCCCTATTTTTTAATTTTTTTTGCTTCATTCTAAATTGCTTTCTTTTTTTTCTTTTTACAAAAATTTTATTATATTATATAAAACTTGCAATTAAGTATATTCGCTAAAACAAAATAATCATTAAAACAATAATCGTTATTTTTTAATTATCTATAAATGGATACGTCTAAGCAAAATACAAATATAATAGAAAATAATTCTAAAATTGGTGCTAAAAATTTATGGAAAAGTGTTGAAAGTGAATATCAGGTAAAATTATTATATTTTAAACAATACGAATTTATATCAAAATTTTTTTTAACCGTTTATTTTGATAGTTCCATGCTACGATTTTTTCTACTGAATCAGATGAAACTAGTTTCATTTTTAAAAAAGTAAATATTATGGATTTAGAAAAAAGAAAAGAAGTTTACGGAGTATGTGGATAATGTAATGAACCAGGTACAGGAGATCATTGGTGTCAATCTTGTAATGCTAAAAGATTTAAAGAAAATTTTAAAAATTGGACTAGTGGAAATGAAAATATTGATGAATTGATACAACAATCACAGATTAGTTCTTTGCATTTTTGAATGGATACCTTTTGAAAAATTTGAAAATGTTACTTATATTACTAGAGGTGGTTTCGGTAAAATTTATTCGGCTGAGTGGCCCGAAGGATATATTATGTGTTGGAATATTGAAAATCAAGAATGGGAACGAAATTCAAATGTAAAAGTTGCATTAAAAAGTTTAGACAATTCATTTAATATAAGTAATGACTTCTTAAATGAGGTAATCAATTAAATATTGCTTTAAAATTAAATAATTAATATTCATGTTTCAATACATATTTATAAACAAAATTTCTCTTCTTAATATTGTTAGATTAAATATTATATTTCAGGTCATTTTTATTGTATACATACTGTTATTTGTTATGGAATAACTAAAGATCCAGACACCCATAATTATATGATGGTTTTACAGTATTATGAGAGTGGAAATTTGAGAAATAATTTAATGAATGATTTAGAATATGGGAATAAAATTAGATATTTATTATGGATCATGGATGGACTTTCAACTATTCACGATGATGGAAAAGTTCATAAAGATTTTCATTCAGGCAATGTATTAGTTGATGATGAACTCCCAGCAATTAGTGATTTAGGAATGTGTCAACCAGCAGATGATAATGAGCGAAAAGGAATTTATGGAGTAATACCTTATATGGCACCGGAAGTTTTATGTGGATATAAATATACAAAAGCAGCAGATATTTACTCATTTGGAATAATAATGAATGAACTTATGTCAGAAGAAATTCCTTATAATGATATTTCTCATGATAATAATTTGGCTGTTAAGATATGCAAAGGATTTAGACCAAAAATTTCTGAAGATACACCAAAATTAATTGCAGATTTGATTATTAAGTGTTGGGACGCTAAAGCAGAAAATAGACCAACAGCTAAAGAATTGTTTCAAATATTAAGAGAATATGTAGGTGAAATTAATGTTAAAGATGGTGAAATTTATTCTCAAATAAAAGAATGTGAAAAAATTAAAGAAAATAAATCAAAAAACATAACAAATGAAAATGAATCTAAAAATCTTCAAAACCACCCACAAGCAATTTACACTAGCAGACTTTTAAATTTTAAAAATCTTCCAGAACCAGTAAATTCAATTGATTATTTATCTTCATTTCAAGGTAATTTAACATTTAAAAAGTTTAACATAATTATATAATTCATAATTTATTTATTTATTTATTTTTTAATAGAACCTATTTCATCATCAGTAAATCCAAGTGAGTATATACTTCGCATTATTAAAGATTATTATAATTATTATTATATTAATGGATTTTTATTTATTATAGTTTCTGAACGCTTGGATTGTGAATTAAGTGAATTAGGTGCGATATTTATTTCAATTGTTTTTAAAATATATGAATTATGTTAATTTAATTTAATAATTTTTTTTTAAATAGATCTCAATCAAGATGATGAATGAGCCTTATTAGTATATTTTTTAAATTTTTTGATTTATTATACGTATATTACTTCATTTTTTATAAATTCATTTTTTTTATTTTCATCACTTAATTATTATATTACTTTAACAAATTTTCTTAAATGCAAAAAAATCTATAAAATATAAAATTTAAAAAATTCTATTATACAATATAAAGAGCGGAAGTTGTAAATCGTACGATTTTATTGGATCAAAGAAGAATAAATCCTCCATCGTATCGTCCCTACCTATTTTGTTCTCTATATTAAGTGAGACGAATTGTTTGTTATATACATGAAAATATAGTTAGTTACTCGGTTTAATATTCTTCGACCATATTAATCCTGTACTTAAGTTGATGGATAAATTATTTTTTTGCAAAATAAAAATAATTCCCATGATTCTAGAACTTTAGAACAACGATCCAGCATTACCATTGTTGATGAAATTATTTGATTAAAAAACTAACTAGCTATTATTACCTATAAAAGTATAGAAATACAAATTTTTATTAACTAAATTTATACGATATCCTAGAATAAAAATTATATAAAACAAATGTAAGTAAGTTATATAATTAAACTGGAAAATTTTTGGTCTGTTAACTAAAAAAATATTTTTTGTATTAAATTATTTTTGGTGATTATATTTCGATCGTAAAACAATTTGTATGTACTTCTTCAAACGGCAAAAAACTATTAAAAACTTAATACTACATTAACTTACTTTCTCTATAATAGATTGCGTATTTAATTATAATTATTAACTTGATTTAATTTTTGTTCTTATACATTATAAATATTATTAAACATGCTACCAATACGGTTTAAATCTCTCCAAGTTCTTGGTGTAGTTTGGCGATTTTTTTAGTGCTATAATATCATCATTCATTTTTTCCAATAATTTAAAATTCGGCCAAATATTTTAAACCATAGATGACAATTTGGTTTATTTCGTGATTTCTCTAATAATACGCTACAAGCCTTATTTTGTTGTTGATATGACGTGTTAACAATTTTTTAAAAAAATATTTCGAATTACCGTCCGGATCATGTGCGCAGATCATGAGTAAACCTGGTGAAAAAATCCGCTACAATTTTTTTTATGGGTCGTTACTTTAGAATACAAATGTATAATTTTTTTCTAATATTATATCGTATATTTATCCTTTATCCAAAATTCTCCTATTTCTACTTTAGACCACACCTGAGCATTGTCTAGAGATTTATTATTCGCCTTCCTTTTATATTTTTTTTGAATAGGACTTCAGTCTGTCAAACATCTTATATTTGACATTTTCTTTTTTATCTTCCTTCTCTCCTTCGCCTTTACCTGGCTCTCTCTTGTCTTTTTTTGTTATATTGTTTGCAATTTCCCATTCATTAATTTCTTCACATCTCTCTTTACAGATGCACTTTTCTACGTTATAAACTATTTAATTTACCAATTCTTTGGCCACGTTTTTGAATTCTTTGCCTTGTGATCCTAAAATAAAGAATATTGTTAATTATTCCTTTTATCGTTTCATTTGGCGTTAAATAAATCATTGACTCTTGATTAAATATTTTCACCAGTTTATCTTCCAATGTTCCATTTTGCATCTTCTTGTCACGTCATTTATTTTTTGTTCCATATTATTTAAAGGCTCCACTAAACACATATTAAATGTGTTTTTGTTTCTTTGCAATTCCAAATATGTTTCCAGTTTTCCAATACTCTCTTACATCTAATACAACACGCGCCTTTGTCACGTCTTTATATATGTCTGGATGTCTTTTATTTAAATGATCCAATGTCGGCAGTATGTCCAGAAAACTTTTTATTCTATAACTTGTCAATTTTCTTGTATAGTAATTTTTCGCCATACAAACTACGCTTTATGATTGAACTGATTAACCTGATTCATAAACTTTCTAGGGCTTTCCGTTATTAATCTATAATTCCGGTACAATCTATATTCCCATGATTCTTATATATGCTTGAATTTTTTTCAAATTTAACATTATGTTCCCATCTTTAATGAATTTATATATCCAACACATATTCTTCTATATATCCGTTTCTTTACTATTTATTAGTTTGTACGCGTTACTATATTCTCACAGTCTGGTTTTATTATAATTTTACTGTTCGATGGACATGATATTTACTAACGCAATAACTACTGCTGTCTCTCTAGGTTCAGTATGCTCATTTATTTTTAATTTTTGCGTTAAATTTATCTAACACCTTACCTGTTTCTTCTATTCTAACCATCCTATACCTCTCCTATGATATATCTTCTCTAATCGAGTCATATGTATAAAATATTAAAACACTTTCATTATTATCCACCACCTTTAACCATTTTTCATATAATTCTTTCCTATATTTTCTTCATTACCTATCCTATCTATTAATTCAAATCATTCATTTATTCTTAATATTTCATTTCTATTCTCTTATCAAATATTTATCCCATCTTTCGTAATCTATACATACCCTCTAGTTCTTTATGTTTACTTTTACTTATTTCATAAATATTGATTACTTCTCTACTTACTTGATCTTTTATCATTTTCGTCTTCTAGTTCTCTATACTATCTAGGTACTGCTCCTTTATTACTTCTTCTTGCTTCTCTAGTTATTTGTTGCCATGTCTTTAACTTATTTTCTTTGGTTAATTGCGTTATATACAAGATATTTACTATTTCAAACTCTTGATACTTTTGTTAAGAAATTTCGCGTTCAACATTTCATCTATCGTAATATACCCACCTTTGACTAGTACATGTTCATAATCATTATTATGTGAGTATAATTTATAACATTTTTCTCTAATAATTTTTAACGCTTCTAATAATTGTAATATTTTCCCTATTGTCTGGTATAGGACTAATTTCTTTGAATATACAAGCATTAAACCAAAATATTTCTTTAAATGTTGCTATTTTAATTCTCATGATTGTCCCCACCTACATCTCCAAACAATTTTACATCCTAATACCTCTTATTACATTATTTGGCGTCGATTAACGCTAGACCTAGTTTATTCTTGACAAGTTTTCTATCTAGCTTTTTGCATTCTTCTTCAGATAATATAACAAGAACTTTAGAACATCCGATAATTCGTTTAACCAAAATATTATTCTACATAAAAAACAATGTTCTGAAGATCAAAAATAGGGCAACATTCATTAATACAAAGGTTATACGTACGTTATCTAGTATAATCGTATTCTCGACGTTATAAATCCACTTGAACGACCTTGATCCAACACTCAGACTTTTCAATTATGATAATCGTATATACTTTCAAAGGATTACAATTGAAAGATACAGTTCTTTCAATCGTGGAACAGACTATTTGTAAATAAATATAAAATAAGAATTTGAAATTCAACCATGATGTTTTCTTTTAGACTATGTACCTAAGTGAGATGAGAACATGATAAGAATAATTAGAAAGAGAATTAATTTATTACATGAATGCGAATATCACTAGCACTTACAATTATACTGATATTATCAATCGGAATTTTTTATTATACTAATATTCACGACTAGATTCCTAGTTTGACTTATTTACATTTGATTAGTAAATAAGATTTGTTTTTTTTAAAAGTTTACAGAAAATTATATACTTTTAATGTTCAAATTTTAGGTAGATTTCTTAAAAGACTTATATTATAACATGCTATTGATAGGTTTACAATTAATAATATTTAATCGTAAAACATATCAAAATATCATCAAATACTATCAACGCACCTCCGCAAGTCACATACTAATTGAATTCTCAAATGATAAGCTTATTTATTTATAACGTATTTTGTTAGCTATTATTAGAACAGAATAAGAAAATGTTACAAATAAGAAATATTTATTAAATAAATATATTATTAATTATTTTTAAAACTCTGCAATCTTTTTTCACAAATCGGCTAAAATCTGTGATTACCGTAACTTGAAATTAACACGCAGTTTTTTTTTTTTGCACAATAATAAATATGCATTTATTTCATCCTGGCTATAAACTTTTATTTAATAGCTATGTTAAATTATCGTATCATGATAGCAGATACCGAATATATGAATATTATTATAATGCAATTTTTTTTTTAGTTAATCTTATCATTTTATATTCTTTGACGGCGAGTACATTTTATATTATAGGAATTCAAACATTTTTAAAACATATTTATTACTATACGTTTAATAGAATCTAGATTTTTGAAAAAATAGAGGGGGAAGGGTACGTTAAACAGCAAATAATTTTTATTTATTTTTAAATAGATCTTTAATCAAGACGATGATGAATGAATTTTAGTATTTCAAAATTTTTAGTACTGTAATTTCTTTTTTATCATATATTATTTCATTTTTTATAAATTCTTTTTGATTTTCATCACTTTATTATTATATTATCTTACCGAATTTTCTTTAGAAAAGAAAATGCAAAAAAAAATTATAAAATATAAAAAAATCTATTATACAATATAACGAGCGGGAAGTTGTAAATCGTACGATTTTATTGGATCAATAAATAAATAAATAAATAAAGTACAGAATAAATATACCATTATATCATTCTACTTATTTTGTTCTCTATAATGAGACGTACGAATATTCTTTTGTGATTTTGCCACATTTTTTATAACAAATTCTGTCCTATACTTAATTTGGTAGGCGAAATTACAAATAATCTACGCGATTCCAAAACTATTATACAAAATAATAATAATATTGAGGGTTTTTTAAAAAATTTTATAATGGATGAGTTGATATAATTGAGGCACCTATACAGTTATATACAATACAACCTAATTTATTATTGTTTTATATTATATATTAAAGGATAACGATAAGAAAAAAAAAGGCGCGATTATATTATATATCTTTATTTTCAGATATTTAAATGATCATAGCTTTAGTGATCCACATTTTTTAAAATCTTGCACTTTATCATATGATTTAGTATTACGGCCCTACCACAAGGGACTTCCTAAGAAGCGCACTATGCTCCTCCCATGAAAATTACGCATAGCACCATGCCGTACCACAACCAACCAGCCCTACTATGAGACTACAGCAAAAGCTGGTACTCACAGGCTTACAAAGTAAGCACGCTATGCTCCCACCCAACGCATAGCATCATGC